TATTATTTTCCTGAATTATTTATTCTTGAATATTTTCGTAAGATTATTTTTTTTGGATTATTCAGGCATGAGTCGTGAGCTCTTTACTATTGAAAACTATTGTTGTTGATTTTTTGTGGAAAAATTAAAATATTGGGCACTTGAGGTACAAATTGTGATATATTGTGATATTGATACGCATGCGGTGGTATAAGGTCTGGGTGTTGAAACGCATACGGTGAGATAAGGGTGGCTTGATACGCGTGGCTAGTAGGGGTGAGTACTAGAAGTCATGCGGTGTAATAAGGGTGGCTAAAACGCGGGATGCTATTTCGGGAAAAATATTTTCTTTAAATAAATTGTGAAGGCTCCCGCGGTGATATAAGAAAATGAGATATTGTAAAATTATTTATAACTTGGAACTACGAGACGGTACCTCGGTAGTGCCCTTGTTGATATTGATTTATGGTCATAGTTGCTTTCGATTAATTGTTGTGATTTTCATAAAGTTAAAGAAAATTCTGCTTTGATTCCACTAGATATTATTTGCAATTATTTGGTGTCATTAAATGTGACATACTATTTGATTCATTTCCAATGTCATTTTATTTTACTACATTGATAAACATTTTACCATGCCATTATTATATTCCAGTAGGGCATCACCTGACCTCGTCACTACTCTACCGAGATTAGGCTTGGCACTTACTGGGTACCGCTGTGGTGTACTCATACTACGCTTCTGCACATCTTTTTGTGCAGATCCAGGTATATTTTTACCAGCCTAGACGTCAGTGAGTTACCTGCGCACGGAGACTTCGAGGTATATCTGCTAGCATCCGCAGACTCCGGAGTCCTCTTCTATCATTTTATGCTGCTTCCTTATATTTTATTTAGACCTTGACATATAGAGACATTGAGAATAAATTCTTAGAAGCTTGTGACTTATTTCTACCGGGTTTTGGGAGTTGAAATTGTAGTTTATTTATTTCAGATATTTATTATTATTCCGCATTGATCGACTTACCTAGTCTTAGAGACTAGGTGCCATCACGACATCCTACGGAGGTCGTGACACTTCTCTCTTGATGAATACTAAAAAAATAGTATGACAATTTGGTAGGATACTATTTAACAGTTTCTTAAGCGATGTTATATGTTATTATCATTGAAATTTGAATTACTTTCTGTACTTGTATATAGGGCTGCTTATTGGGCGGATTGGGCAGTTAATTACTCTTAACGATTTGGCTTAACAGTTATCGGCTTTTAAATGTATTAATCCGCTAGCCACCCGATAAGATATCGGGCGGATTGATATCGGTTTAGCTCTTATCGGGCGGTTTATCGGCCTAATTCAATCTATATTGCGTGTGTTAATTGTTTGTTGACCGCCTAGCATACAAATTCAGAATAGAAAATTATACACTGAGTCCAGACATACATGTCTGTTAATGCCTACATAAGAATGATGTAGTGTGTGATGTGGTATAGAGTGAAAAAAGCAGAACACATTGTAGTCTACATTACATGCCAAAGCAGACTATGATATGATGTAATTAAGGAAAAAGTAGTTCTAATGGATATGCCACTGTAACTCTTGCTAGCTATAACATGGATCATACAAGGATATCAAATTTCATTGAGATAACTATGTGATTGCCTGGGTTTAGATGCAAAGGAACAATTTCAGTAGTTTAGCTCATTAAATATAATGGTATCTAAGCTTTTATTAATTTATTCATAGCACAAACGAAGCAAAATTATAATAAATGCGCGGCCCTTCCCTTTGTTTCTTGTTCATTTCTCTTAGAAAGGTAACAATATATTAATAATTAACACAAAGGATGTGCTGGAGCCATATTTATAATTTTAAAAAGCAAAAATATGAGCTTGCTCTTCATACTAGGGCACTAAGATAGAGTGCTGGAAGCCTGGAAGTCGACGAGATAGAGTATTGCGGGTGGCTGCTGGAGTACTGGTTGAATTCCTACTAAAGCTGGTTGAATTATGGTCGAATAAAGAGAACCATAATTCTACTGGTGGCTGGTGGCTGAAGTTTAGGCATTAGGGTTCTGATTATTTAGGAATTAGGCGTTAGAACTTAGAGATAGAGTACTGGAAGAAGNAAAAATTCAATCCGTTCCCCATCCGTTAAACCGTTAACCCGATATCAATAAGCCATTAAGCTTCGGTTTCGGTTCAGTTTTCGGTTTTGGTTCGGTTTTGAACACCCCTACTTGTATACAATATTTCTATTATATAGAAAAGCCAAGTGTGGTCGACCAATGGTATTACTGTAATTTTAGCTCAAGGGTAAAATTGTAATTTTAATTAACAACTCAACACAATTTTAGACACATGGATTCTTCCAAGCCACACCAAGAAATGTCGGTTTTCTCTAGTTCTCAATTTGTCCTCTCAAATAATATTTTTTTTCATTTCTCTTCATCTTCGCAGTTGGGTGTTGCAACTTTCAGGTCTGTTCCTCTCTCAATTTTTGCCCAAATCTTGTTCTTTTTTTCATTAATTTCTATTACGGCTTTTTTTCCTATCCGGTTTATTTTTTATAATTAGAGAGTTGGTGTGAGGTATACGAGTTTAGGGCAAAACTTAGAGGTATTTGCCGACGATAATGGTGGTCTTTTATCATGTATTTGCTGTTCTTAAAGGTTGAATCTCTCGAAACAAGAATTATGATTGATTATATTATTAATAGACGCGGAACACACGTACACGCATCGTACACTAAAGCTAGTGCTAATAAAATATAGCATAATGAGTATATACATATTTCTACTGAAAAAGAAAAAATGGTTACTTCAATCTCTAGTCAAACATAATAAACTCCTCTACAAAAAAAAAAAAATAGTTAATGCTCGCCATATTTCATATACATTGGATGTTAGATTGCCTTATCTTTGGTTGGGTTCCTTTCAAGTACCCAAATTAGGAAAGCTTAGAAAGAGAAAAATAAGAAAGCACATATGTATGAAAAATCCAAAAATCTCTGAGTCTTTACAAAATTACAAAAATAATGTCCCAATGATTTTAGGCCACTTAATGATTCGGTCCTGAGACTATTTTGGACGATAAAATCATATCAGTTTTGGTTTCTCCTTTTTTTTTTTCGTTCCTTATAGACAAAATACATCCATGTAATCCATCCTCACCCTTGACCGAAAAATGTTAAAAACAAAGAAGGAAATTTTTTTAATATGTGTAGAGACATTATAAGTAGGAAATTATACGTATATTATCCCATCTCCTAGCAATTTTTAGGAAGCGGTCGGGTTGGCCACTATTTAGGTTAATTCTTCAATAATAACTTAATTCTAGCTATACCATCTCTTCTTCCTTTTGCCAACTTCTATTCTTAACATTCACTACACATTTGAGAGTTTAATCTACTACATATAACAGTAATATTACAAAACCGTTTTCAACTTTATCCACAGTAATAGTAAAGTTATACTTTGTCCGCTAACACTAAGTCTCAAAACTTTACCCCTACACCTATAAAGTATACGTCGATAATATTAATAGTTCATTGAAACTTTTCTATCTCTTTGAATCAACTACTTCACAAACTTGTGGTTGGCTATATATGAAAGAAAGAATTAACAATTCCTACTTCCTTCCACAACTGAACAGTCACATTATGCATCGAGAATGGACTTATGAGAGTTAGAGACAGATCAAGAATTTAGCCGTATGGATCCGAAACCATTATATTTAAAGTTATATGTTTATATTTAGTATTTTTGTAATTTTTGTAAATTTTTACATATAAATTTATAAGTCGCATTGAAAGTAGTACTGAGTTCAAATGAACCTGATGTTCTCATCCGCCCCGGATGAGAATGACACAAATTCATGTGAAAGACAATTGTCCATTATTACTACACATGAATGATAATAACACAAATAATGTTGTGTCATTTGGCTCATAAAATTACTGTTACGCTTACTCATGCACCAGAAATTCGAAGCTTTCTGGAAAAAAAAAACAAGCAGAAGAAACTTGAAGTTCAAAGTGATAGTTTAAACTTCACTCCACAGCTGGAAATTATAAATATCAGTAGACAGAAATTACATATATCTACGCGATTTATCATCTGCAAGAATCTGTAACCCTAGCCATGCAAATAAGAGCTACAAGCCAAAGATATAACCAAAACAATAAAAGAAAAAAAACATAAAGCAAAACAATCATCTATATAAAGAGAACCCTTTATAGAGCATTATACAAACCAAATCATATATCTTCTTAACCAAAGAAGAGAAAAAGAAATTAAAAGAATGTTGAAGCCTCAGCTTCATCAAACATCACAACCTACAAAAACCCTAATCCCATGGAGTACTACTAATTCATTCACTTCAGGAGAAATCTTAGCCTCTTTTCCTATCAATATTTTAAGTAAAAACCTTAGACAAAAGCACAAGAAGAAGAATTTTAGGGTTCATTATTATGCTGCAAATAACACTAAAGCAGTGCTTACTTCTACTGAGAAATCAAGTGGTGTAAAAGCAGTGGTGACTGTACAAAAAACAGTTGAAGGTACTAACTTAGGTTTATCAAGAGGGCTTGATGATATTGGTGATTTGCTTGGTAAAACTCTCGTTTTGTGGATTGTTGCTGCTGAGCTTGATCCTAGTAAGTACATAATTCACTCATTAAGTTCCGCACTGAATTGTTTAAACTCGATTGGTTCAACCTTTAAAAGTTTTAAGCATTGCACTCATTATACTTTTAAAATTATGATTTTCAGACTTGATATTTGTTGAAATTTTAGCGTTTTTCCAGACATATAACTATGCTTTGCATGAAAAATACTAGCCGGTTCAATTAAACCCGTTGAAACTAAATTAAACTGTAACCTCTAGGATTTAAACTTGATGGGTTAACTTTATGTTCTCGTTACCGAACTCATTGCAATTATGGGTTCAGAACTTATTTGTTGATATTTCATAGTAGTAGTTTATATATCTCTGTATATCAAAAATATGGAGTTAAATATTTGAGCCCGTTAAATCTAAAGGGGATGGTTAGAGCCAGTACATATTTGCTCCCATTCTCCTATATAGGATTAAACAACAGAATTAAGTACCAAGAAGATAATTTTCAAAAATTTCAAAAAGGTCTTGCATTAAGCAATATGGGCAATGCATTGCTAGATGCAATTCAATCACTAAATTAATAAATGACACTACATATGATTTGATCAAATATTAATTTGCGGTGAACATAACCAAAATATGAAAGAAATAAGTAAGAATATATAGTAGAAGAATACATAAAAGTTTAATATGAAAAGAACCTCTCTCTTTCCAATGTCAAACTCAATCAGACTACGAGTACTCTACGACCATATATCGTCCAAACATAATTTCTTTTTTCCACGTACTTTTTTTCTTATTTATAAAGTTGTTCAAACGGAAAATAAATTTTATTCTTTCCGTTATATTTTGTGTGAGCGTGTTCGACTGAGTACACAATTTAAGGAAGAAAAAAAAAGACATTAGGAACTTGTGGTTTTAAACATGCCATGATATCATTAGGAACTTGTGGGCTTGAGCATGCCATAATATTTTTATGACAAAAAAATAATATTATTAAGAATAAAATAAAAAGTTTAAAGTTAAATTATTTTCAAATATAGATGACTATTTTCATCTCATCTGAAAAAAATTAATATTTTATAAAAAAAAAAAAGACTTTATTATCTACTATTAATTTATGTTTACAACCTCATCTATATAGAAGTATGTTTACCGCCTGATCTTATAAATGGGAAAAATCAAAAGGTCAATATCTCTTTTATGCTAATTTCTTGCTTCAAAATTGTTCAAGCTTCTCCTCATTTTCTTTAATTCCTAATAAAATTTCCATTCGTATTTCCCAACTTGCATTTACGTAATTGTTATACTCTTTGAATATTATTAATTATTTTGTTCTCTATTGATCTTTTAAAGAAACTGGAATAGAGAAACCCAGCATTAAGACGTTTGCACATCGTGGACGAGATGTGGATGGTGACACACATTATGAGGCTGATTTTGTAATTCCTGAAGCCTTTGGGGAGGTTGGAGCAATTTTAGTAGAAAATGAGCACCACAAGGAAATGTATGTCAAGAATATAGTAATTGATGGCTTCCCCCATGGCATGGTTCATATTACTTGCAATTCTTGGGTTCACTCCAAATTTGATAATCCTGAGAAAAGGATTTTCTTCACCAACAAGGTTTGCCAAAAATTCCCTCTTCGTTTATGCTTTATTTATTTTACCCAAAATAATTACTATCCTATTATATTGTTGGAAAAAGAATAATGTTTTTTTCTCATAGTAGCCTAACTATAAGTATTGACGAACTGAGTAATCTAAAAATGGAATCATTACTCAAATGGTCATTCAACTATTCGAAATTATCTATTAAAGTTATTTTTATTTCGTTTGTAAAAAAAACACTTAACTAAAGTTATTTTTCTTTTGTTTGTAACAAACAATCACTTAACTATGTCTACTGCACTCAAAAGATCACTCAATTAGATTTCTCAAACTTTTGATTGCCAAATATCTATTTTACCCTTTAAATTATCAAATTTTATAATCTTTGTTTTTTTACTTTTTAATATTATGCATTTTTCTCTTTTAAATTTATATTATGGACTTACCTAAACAATAAATAAATTTTATTTATAAAGTAAAAAAAAATAGTATTTAATTATATATAATGTGGGAATAATAAAATATTGAGCATAGTAAAAAATTTAAATAGAATAATTTGTTCGTGGTAATAATTTTGATATTAATAACAAAAATTCAAAAATTTATTTATGCAATTACGAACGAAAGAAAATATTTTTTTTAAAAATATATATCCCATGCACGTAATATAAAAAATATTTATTTAAAATAGAGGTATATTTCAAATATACATTGTATATTCTTGAAAATTATGCTCAATTATTTTATTATTCCGTTATTATATATGGTAGGAAACTAATTTTTCATTTTGTTCTATAGATAAGTCTGTAATGTAGATTAAAAAGAGAAAAAAAATCATAATATTAAAAAAATTAAAATAAAAAGAAGATAAAGTTGATAATTTAGAGGGTAAAATATGTATTTGACAATCAAAAATTTGAGAAATCTAGTTGAATGACCTTCTGAGTGATATAGGCATAATTAAGTGACTTTTCAGTAATGAACTCTCTAAAAACATGAGTTATTTAATTTTTTTCATATATTTCGTGATTTAGACATGATTTCTTCGTCAAGAATAAGAAATAGCTGGTTTGATTTTCATTGTGGACGGGAATATGATCTAACTATAGAAGAATAGATTCAAAAATCTTTCATTCTTTTTTAAACTTCATGATCAATTAAACTGTACTATCACATAAAATAGAACAAAGGGAGCATGATTCTTCGTATACTTTCTTTGTTTCAATTTGAATGACACACTTTATTTATTAGTCTGTTTTAAAAAGAAATGACACATTTATATATTTAGAAATAATTTAACTTTTAAGGTCTTTATTTTACCATTTTACTTACCCTTAATAAGAAGATTTTATTGCTAATCAAATATCATGGCCCACAAAATTTTTGCCCTTTAAGCTTTTAAGATACCACATGTTTCAAAAATCTTTTTTTTTCTTAAATTTTATTTCAAGTCAAACTATATCATTTAAATTGAAAACGGAGAGAGTAATAACCTAATGGGGTCCATTTCTCGTAACATGTGTTTTGTTATTTTTCATTTCACTTATAAACTAGACAAATGTATCACAGTTATATATGGACCTAGTGGTCCTATTAATTAATGTCATTTAATATTACATACACTGGGCTTCTCTTCTTGTGTCCTTTCCGCTAGCAACATGTCTCTATCTAACGGGTAAAGAGCAACATGCATGCAGCACTGGCGGCACAACAATTATTGATGGTCCAGAGCCAAACCTCGATAAAAGGCTTAAATTTATTTAATAAAATATTATTTTTTGTAATGATGGTATGGCGATCATCTTGTATGTGTTTTGATAATTCATTCATTTACTTAGTGCTCTCATCATTATAAATATTCGGTAACTCTACTCTTTAAGGTTTAGATAATATTTTTACAAGAAATTTATATGACAGTTTAGATAATATTTTTATAAATTTTCATAATTTAATAATCACAATTTTGTACCACATTTCATACGTTTAAAAATGGTTCAAGTCTATTCTGAAGTGACAAAAGGTTACTCCAATTATACAATAGATTTCGTTCTTTAATTATTGCAGTCGTCATCAAATTGTTTACTTCATATATTGCATATTTATAATACTCAGAGTTATTTATTTGAATAACCTCTATCGCAGTCTAAAAAATAAGTATAAAATTTAGTATCTTTTAATTATAATTTTATAATATAAAATAAGTATATAATTTGAAAATTTTGGGGCCGTCAATTCTAGGAGGCATAAAGCAATTGCTTTAGTGGCTTTCCCCCTAGAGTCCTAGACCAGGCCAGGCTTATGTTTCAATATTGTCTGCATAATATTGAGATGCAGGCCAGCCTTAGGTTTTCACAAACATATTATCATTAAATTATAGTAATTAACTTATATACATTCTTTTCTTTATTTAATTCAACCAAAATAACTTAGTATAATTTGATATAAAATACTTAGTGCGGATAAATTTACTGCTTATTACTAATAGAGTTTTGTTCTTTTGGCCATGACAGTCATATCTACCATCTCAAACACCAAGTGCAATTAAGAGATTAAGAGAAAGAGAACTTGTAATAATGAGAGGTGATGGATTTGGAGAACGTAAACAATTCGAGAGAGTATATGATTATGATGTATACAATGATATTGGAGATCCTGATGCTAGTGATGATGCTAAAAGACGGGTAATAGGTGGCAAAGAATTACCTTATCCTAGAAGATGCAGAACTGGTCGCCCAAGGAGCAAGAAAGGTACTCCACGTTTCAATTTATATGACACACATTTTTATTAATCCGTTCGAAAAAGAAGAATTAGCCTAAATTGTCGTCCATTCAATCGCTTAAACTAAATATAACTAGTTAATATATAATATATGTATCCATATATAATATGTGTATAATCGTATATAATCTATGTATACCGTCTAGGAAAAATGAACAGTGAATCCGGCCGGCTATTTGTGTAAAGATCCCTATAAAAAAGGACAACATATTTCTATATTTGAAAATAAGTTAAATTTACACTTTTCATTTTACACATTTTACTCTTAATAAGGAACTTTTACGGCCGTATGGAATATTTAAGACAATAAATTTCAAATGTCTTATAGCCACGCAAATACTATAGCATGCTTAAGAACAAAAATTTCAAAAATCTTATCTTAGCCGAGTCAAACTACGTCACATATATGGAATAATACTTTCTAAGTTTATAATATTTCTAAACAAACTTAACTGATTATACACTGTAGTGTAAATAATTTTATAATATTATGTAATTTAATCTGTTGCAAGTGATTGCTTGTCTTATTATCCAAGTTGCTAATTATACTTATTATAGGTAGTTACCCATAATTAATTTTTAGGTGATTGTGTTAAAGTTAAACTTAGCTTGACTCGAAATTATATGTACATTAACAGGGAAAAACAAAATTTACACTATCAGTAGATTGTCATGCTATAACATGTTAGACTTATTATGGGCATGTTACCAAGCCTTGCTTTTTGCACAAAAATCTTGTAAAGATTTAAGGTATACACACTAATAATATAAAATATTTTATCTATTGTAATTTAACCTACATATGTAATAAGCTTTTTGTGACCAAAAAATGAAAAAAGTTCTATAGAGAGTGCATAAAAATTAAACTCGAATTGGATTTTATAGTACTCGTTTTTGTGGTTGCATTGCAGATCCATTATCTGAATCAAGGAGTGCCTTTGTATATGTACCAAGAGATGAAGCATTCTCAGAAGTGAAGAGCTTAACATTCTCAGGCAACACACTTTACTCCGTTCTGCACGCGGTGGTACCGGCGTTGGAGTCCGTCGCCATCGATCCGGACGTCGGATTTCCACATTTTCCGGCCATTGACTCACTGTTCAACGTCGGAGTCAGACTTCCACCCCTTAACGATAAAAGTACCATGTTGAATATCATACCAAGGCTCATTAAGGCCATTTCTGATACCCAAAAAGATGTCTTGCTCTTTGAAACCCCTGAATTGCTTCAAAGTAAGTTCCTATAACCTGTAAATATAGAAATTTGTGTTGCTCGGATCCTTAAAAAATTCATAAATCAAAATATTACATTGCAAACCTATGTATGTTGCCTAGATGCTCCAAAATAACGTCGCACCTATCTAGATACTCTGAAAATGCAGAATGTTTGGATTCGATAAGGATGCTGCTACATTTTTCGAGGATCCGAGCTACAATTGCTGATATCCTTTAAAAATTCACAAATCAAAAATATTACACTTCAAATTTATGTTTGTTGCTCGGATGCTGTAAAATGACGTCGCACCTATCTGGATCCTCCAAAAATGCACAATATATGGGTTCGATACGGATGCGGCTATATTTTTTAAGGATTCGAGCAACATTGTTGAAATCTATACCTTACAAAAGTGTGTATTAAATCTTTATTGAAAATTTTTACAAAACTATTTGGAGTATTTAATACCCCCTGTCTCAATTTATGTGGAATACTCTTTTTTAGTGTGTCCTAGAAAGAATGTTATATTTCTATATCTAAAAATAACTTAACTTTAAAATTTATTTTACCATTGATGAGATAATTTATAGCAATACAAGTATCTGTAATTTACTTAGACCACAAATTTAAGGTAAATATAATTAAGGCGAATATTTTGGTAAAAAGTTAATAAAAAAGAAGTAATATATTAAATTCATCCAACAGTAAATTGCAACTAATCTGATAAAAATTCTTGTAAAAATTAAGTTATATATTTTCATGGTCATGGCAGGGGACAAATTTTCTTGGTTTAATGATGTGGAGTTTGCTCGTCAAACCTTAGCTGGTCTCAACCCGTGCAGTATACGCTTGGTTACGGTATGTTATCCCCTTTTTTTTTTCTTTTTTTTTCCTCTTACAATCGCGATGTCTGAACCACCTTATGCTTATATTGTATTATTCAGTGTTTTAAAAGGGTTGGCGTAAGGCGGGACGTTTTACCTATGCCTCAGCGGGGCGTAAGCCCCGAGGTATGGGGCGTAAGCCCCATAGGTATTTAATTTTTAATATTTTATAAAATAATATAATAACAGTTAATATTTATAAACAGGTAAAATTGCATAAAAATTGAAGAAAACTATATATATGTGTGCTCCATCCCCACAAAAAACTAATCAAAACAATCTAATATACGTTACTTACAAACACAAGTAATTTGAGTTTAAAAGAATAAAATTTTCTATATGGAGGAACAAAAAGGATGATTAACCTTCAATTTGAACTTTGAATTTGCTGCTATGAAGAAAAATGTAGTTCTCTTTGTATTTGTAAAAAAAATTAAATATTCGTTGCTTTTGAGAAATATTAGCAGACTAGCGGACAAGATAAAAAATTGGGAAAATCATGAATTAGGGCTTAAATCAATAAAAAAAAAAAAGGTCTTTACTTTTAAATTTAATACTTTTGAGTTCCTTTTTAAACTTTTTGAGTAATTACCAAACTGACTTTTGAGAATTTGGGTATTATATGAAGGATTAATTCAATAAATTTTGTTTTAATTTGAAAAAGTCTCTGGGGCTTATTCCTTACTAAAAAACGCACCCCGAACACCCGGGCGTACGCCTCAAATTGCGGAGAGTATGCCTCTTGAGACTTTCGTCCCACACCATCGCCCCGAGGCGTTTTTGGTATGCCTTGCCCCGGAGCTCGCCCCAGAAACACCTTTTAAAACAGAGGTATTATCTTGTTTATTTTATGTTATTTTACAATTATTGTTTTAGTGCAGCTCAATTCCTTACTTCTTGCTTTAGAAAAATTGCTCGATAACTAATGTCTTTTCTAAACCTGTCCATACATTAATTTGGTTAAACGATCAATTTATTGATTGAAACACTAAGCTAAAATAGTTCATGAAAATTCCAGGAATGGCCATTGAAGAGCAAGTTAGACCCTGAGATCTATGGACCTCCTGAATCAGCAATCACAAAAGAGCTAATTGAACAAGAAATTGGAGGACTCATGACTGTTGAAGAGGTATATACAAATCCTTCTCTTTTTCGAAATTGCGAGAAAAAACATTAATTTCTGTTTTGTTTGTGGACACACATCCTTTTATTGCATAAATAGCCTTTTTGGAGGTCACTCTTTAAATTATGTCCTCTATTAGTTCATTTGGCTGCAAAAAGACAAAAAGTAATTCATCCAACTATTTTTAAAGGCGAAATTTAGTCCATTGAACTAAAAAAAGAGCAGACGGATCACAAGGGTCTATTGTACGCAGCCTTACCCTGTATTTCTGCAAGAAGCTATTTCTTTGGCTCGAACCCGTGGCCTCTTAGTGACATGGCTGCAACTTTACCAGTTACGCCAAGGCTCCCCTTCAGTCCACTGAACTAAGGGGATATAATTTAAACAGTGGCCTCAAAAAATGCCCTACAGTGCAAATAATCCATTGACAAGCCTGTGCCTATAGTCTTCCTCCTGCTTAATTAATTCTTGAGTTATATGTAAATGCAGGCAGTTGAACAAAAGAAGCTGTTTATCCTAGATTATCATGATTTGCTGTTACCATATGTTAACAAAGTGAATGAACTCAAAGGAAGAGTGGTATATGGATCAAGAACTCTATTTTTCTTGACACCAGATGGCACATTGAGACCTTTGGCCATTGAGTTAACAAGGCCACCAGTATATGATAAACCTCAATGGAAACAAGTATATTGCCCTACTTGGCATGCCACTGGTTCTTGGCTTTGGAAATTAGCTAAAGCTCATGTTCTTGCTCAAGACTCTGGCTATCACCAGCTGGTTAGTCACTGGTAAGTGATCAGGACACATGTATTATATTCCCGGCCGCTTTCAGTTAGTGTTCATAGTTGAGTGATCGCTCTCTATCTGGCTAGAAAACATCATAGGAATATTAATACTATGAAATTGGTTTTTGCAGGCTAAGAACTCATTGTGCTACAGAGCCATACATCATAGCAACAAATAGGCAACTTAGCGCAATGCACCCGATATACAGATTACTGCATCCTCATTTCAGATACACAATGGAAATAAATGCCTTAGCTAGAGAAGCTCTTATTAATGCCAATGGAATTATTGAGAGTTCATTTTTCCCTGGCAAATACGCCGTGGAGTTAAGCTCTGTTGCTTATGGTCTTGAATGGCGATTTGACCGACAGGCACTCCCAGAAGACCTCATTAGCAGGTAATTCGCTATCAGTGTATTTTAACGTGTCGTAGCAAGTTATTATCTGTCTGATTTTTCATGTTACTGATCCCACTTATTATGGAGAATTACATGCAGTTATGTTTTAAGTGATCTGATAGTATAAAAATTATTTACGCTAAAAATACCGAGTGTTCCATTTTATCCTTCCACATAACATGTTATTTGTGCAAACTTTAATAGGGGAATGGCTGTGAAAGATTCAGATGCACCATATGGTTTGAAACTAACAATAGAAGACTACCCTTTTGCAAATGATGGTTTAGTACTATGGGATACCCTTAAACAATGGGTAACAGACTATGTCAACCATTACTATACAGAAACCGAACTCATAGAATCCGATACAGAACTCCAAACTTGGTGGACAGAGATAAAAGATGTTGGACATGGTGACAAGAAAGACGAGCCGTGGTGGCCAGAACTAAACACCCCAGATGACTTAATTGGAATTATCACAACAATAATTTGGGTAACTTCTGGACACCATGCAGCAGTAAACTTTGGCCAATACAGCTATGCAGGTAAACCCACCCCCCTCCCCCGGGCCTTATTTTTCGAGTTAAAGATCTCAGTTCTTGTGGATAGTTACTTGTAGTTATCTTATAGTTGACCTGATAGTATAAAAGTTCTTATACACTATCAATGTCTAGAAGTTAAACTCATTTTAAAACAAATTTTAGTTCTATGCACGGCTAATGTGAAAACACGTTTACACAATCAGTCATCTATAAGCTAACTACAAGCAAATCCCTACGATAAATATTAAGCAGTAAACTGATAAAAATGATAACTATCTACTATCATAAGTTAAAACTACGCTTATAGCATATAAATCCTCTGTTTTAAAAGGCGTTTCTGGGGCGAGCCCCGGGGCGAGGCATACCAAAAATGCCCCATGGCAATGGTGTGGGGCGAAAGTCTCAAGAGGCGTACGCCCCAACGCCCGGGAGTTCAGGGCGCGCTTTTTTAGTAAGGAGTAAGCCCCAAAGACTTTTTCAAATTAAAACAAAATTTGTTGAATTAGTCCTTCATATAATACCCAAATTCTCAAAAGTGAGTTTGGTAATTACTCAAAAGGTTTAAAAAGGAACTCAAAAGTATTAAATTTAAAAGTAAAGACCTTTTTTTTATTGATTTAAGCCCTAATTCATGGTTTTCCCAAATTTTTATCTTGTCCGCTAGTCTGCTAATATCTCCCAAAAGCAATAAATATTTAATTTTTTTTACAAATACAAAGAGAACTATATTTTTCTTCATAGCAGCAAATTCAAAGTTCAAATTGCAGGTTAATCATCCTTTTTGTTCTTCCATATAGAAAATTTTATTCTTTTAGACTCAAATTACTTGTGCTTGTAAGTAACGTATAATAGATTGTTTTGATTAGTTTTTTGTGGGGATGGAGCACACATATATATAGTTTTCTTCAATTTTTATGCAATTTTACCTGTTTATAAATATTAATTGTCATTATATTATTTTATAAAATATTAAAAATTAAATACCTATAGGGCTTACGCCCCGCGCCTCGGGGCTTACGCCCCGCCTTACACCCACGCCTTTTAAAACACTGTATAAATATTTACATTGTCATTGTAATCATCAATCCACTTTCTCCAAATTTCTTAAATATGGAAGTTCCATTTTCTATTTATTGTATTTATAAATCATAGAATATTGACTGTGCTATTGCATATGTAGGCTACTTTCCAAATAGGCCAACAACTGCTAGAGCAAAAATGCCAACTGAGGATCCAACTGATGAAGAATGGGAGAGTTTCTTGAAAAGACCAGGGGATGCACTATTAAAATGCTTCCCATCACAAATGCAGGCAACAAAAGTCATGGCAATTTTGGATGTTTTATCTAATCATTCTCCAGATGAAGAATATCTTGGAGAAAAAATAGAACCTTACTGGGCTGAGAATCCTGTGATTAATGCGGCGTTCGAAATTTTTTCTGGAAGATTGAAAGAGCTTGAAGGGATTATTGATGGTAGAAATGCTGATAGCAATTTGATGAACAGAAATGGAGCTGGAGTTATGCCTTATGAACTGTTGAAACCATTTTCTGGACCTGGTGTTACTGGAAAAGGTGTTCCTTATAGCATTTCCATTTGATTTTCAAGACATGAATTTTGTAATAAGATGCAAGTGAAATAACAATAATGCAAGCCAAATGTGCTGTTTTTAGTTTCTTTTGTAAATGTTCATTGAATCAATATCAGTTCCTACTGGTACTTCTAGTTCTAATGCCTTCTCTCTGTCCTTTTTGCGAAAAAATATTAGAACTCTGTTATCCTTTCTTTCATGAAGACAGATTTGGGTGTATAATGTATTCACAATGTAGTTTGATGCATTAGAACCATTAATACTCATTTATATGCTCACTTGGCAAGATTATGAACAGATAAATTTGACTATTACACATGATAAAAAACAATACTCAGCGTAAAACAACCTTGATCAGAATTTATTACATGTTCATCTTGACATGTGAAAACGCATAGCTCCCCCCTTTCCACTAGTTATATACAGATCAACAGTTACCAGCACAAATCTAATCTCTAGTGATGAGTTTCTCATAGAGATTGATAAGGATTTTGGAGTACTCTGCATATTGTTTTAACGTTTTGGTTTGAATGCTCAAATTCTTTGACATGATATCAGAACGAATATTTTATAACCAAAATTGTTCTTATGATGTCTAATAGTAACATTTATCTAGCAAGAAAGGACCTTTTGCTTCCTTTTGATCAGCTGCTAGAACCACATCTATAGCAATGTACAACATTCATCCATCCTTGGCTTCAACTTTATATTTAGATATAAAGATATACCGCGGCGGAAATTGCACAGCAATGAGGCTCATCTTAAATAGTAGTGCTGAAAGTATAAGGGAAAGGTGGAGTAGTCACTTCAACAGATCCATCAAGCATTTGAGTGACTTTCCTCATAGTAGGCCTCATCGTTGAATCTTCTTGGATGCACCAAATACCGACCATCACAAAGTACAAAAGCACAAATTGACAAAGAGAATGAAGTTCAAAATGTGGGACAACTCTAGAATCAAAGATTAAAAATCAGATTTTGTATAAATTGTCAAATATAAAATATAAGAGGAAAACATGAAGAGAAAAAATCAGGAAAGAGGAATTGAAGAAGAAAGAAGGGTCTAACTTCTAAGAGAGTAAGAGCATACACAACGAGAACTTGAGGGCATCCGGCTCCGGCAGAGGGTTGTAGCAGCGATCAAATCATCAAAAGATTGACAGGCAAAGAAATCTAACTTTTTGATTTGAGAACTAGAAAGACAGAAGGTGTGTTGGCACTTGGCTGTTTTTGTTTAAAATGAACTGTTTATTAGAAAGAGAAAACGCTTTATGTTTTATGTATTAAAAAGAATAAATTTTAGTCTAAAGTAAGTCAAAAAGTGTCCTTTGGAGTTGTTTGAGAATTACATTGTCGGTAATTTGTGCTTTTTGAAATTCTTTTTGTAGTTGTTCGAGAATTACATTGTCCTTAATTTGTATTTTCTGATATTTGTTTTGTAAAAAACAATTGTGCTTTCTGATATTTTTTTTTGTAAAAAATAATAAAATAGCACACTGCTTCGAGCGGCATTCGAACCCACATGTTCTCTGCGCGAACCAAGAACTCTTACCATTGAATCCAAGCCTCTTTTGTTACTGGGTTCGGCAAGATATATTTATATAGAAACAGTAAATTTTTCAATACAATTACAGGGTCTCGAAAAAAGTCACTGAATTCGCCCGAACCCGCACCCTCTACTGTAGCTCCTCCCCTGCGTATCACCACTAGGGGCGTATTCAGCTCTTTAATACCTAATTTATCTGAATTCGATACTTTTAACGCGGAACATAAATTTGGGTATAAAAGTTCACAAATATTTGATTGAACCCATAATTTTAACAATATAATGGGTTCAATGCTAAAAATCTTAAAGGTTGAACCCATAAAATTTAAATCCTAAATTCGCAAAACGCTACTGTATCTAATACCCTCATGTTCAATGAACTATATACCTACCAAACTAAAGGGCTAGCTCATAGGTAATTTGGCAAATTGTCCTTATATACATAGTCTAGCCTTTTTCCCATCCAATCAGTGAAGGAATTAGAAATAAATGGATGCACATGTTAAATGACTTTCTGCATACCCTTTTTTATGTTATTAAATTTGTTTTAATATATTGATAGAGATTTGCTAATATTAGTTTTCAATCACTCGCACACACTCTCTCACTCTTTCACACACACAGAGAAAAGGAATTTGGGAGAAGCTGTTCGCACATTAATTTATGATCTCTGCAGACTCTCTAAAATATTGTCGCATCTGTATCGGATCCTTCAAAAATGCACTATTTTTGAAGGATCCGATATGGCGATATTTTCGGAGAGTCGAATAACATAGTTTATGATACTTTAAATCTACATGTCCTCGATGTTTACCCCAAAACTACTAGCATTAATTTTTAAAAATAACTTTTCCAAAACAAAATTTCCACCCATCAAACAAATACTCTACTAAAAACCATTTCGTATATATGGAAAATAAAATTTTCATGAAAAATGATTTTCATCGTACGCTCAAAGTAGTATAGTGAAGTTTTCCTTGTCCTTCTCCTTATAAGCTAGATTATCCACTTTTTTTCTTTTCTGTAACTCCTCTCTGCAATCGATTAATCTTCTCCGTACCGTTTCAATTTTATCAGATTCTCCGAAGGGACTAGACACAAATTACATATATCTACAACTACACGTTTATCATTTGGAATTATCTGTAACCCTACTTTCCATGCAATAACTAGAGCTAAAAGCCAAAGACATCACACAAAAAATAAAAAGACTCTATACTTACCCCAAGCTAAGCAAGAAAATGTCATCTATATAAAGAGAACCCTTCGCATAATTTAAAGCAAATCATATATCCTCTTAACCTTACATCCCAAAAATACCAAAGAAGAGAAAAAGAAAATTAAAGAATGTTGAAGCCTCAGCTTCATCAAACATCACAATCTATAAAAACCCTAATCCCATGGAGTACTACTAAATCATTTGTTTCAGGAGAAATCTTGGCCTCTTTTCCCATCAATATTTTAAATAAAAACCTTAGACAAAAGAAGAATTTTAGGGTTCACTATTATGCTGCAAATAGCACAAAAGCTGTGCTTAGTTCTACTGAGAAATCTACTAGTGTTAAAGCAGTGGTAACTGTCCAAAAAACTGTTGGAGGCACTAACTTAGCTTTAACAAGGGGACTTGATGATATTGGTGATTTGCTTGGTAAAACACTCCTTTTGGAGATTGTTGCTGATGAGCTTGATCCTAGTAAGTGCTCTCTTTTTCCAAATTTTTTTCCAGGTATACGGGTTGGAACGAGGGGCAGATCCAGAGTTGAAACTCATGGATTTAACCAATTTTAAAGTTTTTAGTATTAAACTTATTGACTTTTGAAACAGATATCTATGCTAGCTTAAAAGATAGGAGTATTGCGGTTCAATAGAACTCGGTCCGTTCAAAAGTAATAAAGATTTGGATTTAAAAAAACAGAAGTACCAAGATGATAATTTTCAAAAAATTCAAAAATTAAAGGACGTGCATTAGGCAGTATGGGCTATGCATTGCTAGATGTAAAATTAGTTTGAAATTCAAACAAAGACTTAATTAATGACACTACATACAACTTGAACCAATATTATTTGTGATGAATATATAATGAAAATATGAAATAAACAAGTTAGTAAGAATACATAAAATTTTAATATGAAAGGAACCTCTCCCTTTTCCGTTCCTTTTTAATCTTTTAGTCAATGAATAAATTACTGCAATTGGGAAGTGGTTTGAGGGTGTTTTTTTAAAAAGAAAGTTCTTTTTTCCACTGTCAAATTCAATCAAAATACGAGTCTATATAATTTTCACAAAGTTTTTTTTGAAACGGAAAATCAATTTTATTCCTCTTGTTTTATTTTACGTGAACTTATTTGATTGAGCACAAAGACTAAGAAAAAAAATACGAAACTTCTAGTCTTTATTATATTATGAGATTTATATGACTAAAAAATTAGTATTATTAAGGATAAAATCAAAAGTTTAAATTTAAGTTATTTCCAAATATTAAAAAAAAATCATTTTTCTTTTTCTTAAACAGACAAAAAATAAAAAGGATCAACATAACATGGAATAGAGTGGTAAAAGAAATGTCCTTCTGCATACATCAAATTTCAAATCAGCATCTGTTGTCTAACCTTTTATAATAGTGAAGTAAATAATTGTACTCTTTTTTTCCAACTAAGGCAATTAATTTTAGTACTTTTTTTTATAGTAAATAATTATACTTAGATAAGCCATTTGTGGATGCTATTTCGTTTGCTCCTTCTATCGCATTCACTCAGTTCAGAAACAAAATACGAATGTACGTAACGTGCAAAACTGAAGCAAACTGCACTTTGAACATTTTTTTCAAAATTGAAAACAATTTAAATAATTAACCCATAACTTTGAAAAATAAGTGATTTACGCTATTACTGAAAATTTCTACAGAATCAATTTGAGGCATTATATATCTTTAATATCCTCCCGTACATAGCACGTTATAGGGTTAACAAGTCGGTTGAAGATAAAAGTTTGTTTACCACCTCATCTTATTAAAAAAAAAACATAATCATGCAAAAGGCCATTCAATCTCTTTTATGCTAATTTCTTGCTTTATAATTGTTCAAGTTCTTCCTCATTTGTTCGCTACAAAAAAAAGGTAAAATTTAACTATGAAATTTGTCACTAATCTATTACTCCCTAAATAGCCCGTAGCTGATAAGATTTTTTGGTAATCCTTCGTTGAATTGGTTTAGCGACGGAAATATGTTGTTTATGTTGTTTAGCAACATCCGCACCGACATTAATTCCAGTTTTTTCTTTTGTCTTAATTACTAATATAATTTCCTCTCTTGTTTTGCGACTTTTATATTTAATTTTTTTCTTTTTGCAATTGTTATTCTTTGAATATTTTTTTCTTTTAAGTTTCTCTTTTGTTGGAGCTATCGATTCTTTAGTGACTCGAACCCACAACTTTAGAATTGTAGATGGAGGATGCTGACCATCCGAGAAATCACTCTTGTCGATATTCTTTGAATATTATTAATTATTTTGTTCTCTATTCATCTTTTAAAGAGGCTGGAACAGAAAAACCAAGCATTAAAACGTTTGCACATCGTGGACGAGATGTGGATGGTGACACACATTATGAGGCTGATTTTGTAATTCCTGAAAACTTTGGGGAGGTTGGAGCAGTTTTAGTAGAAAATGAGCACCACAAGGAAATGTATGTCAAGAATATAGTAATTGATGGCTTTCCCCATGGCATAGTTCATATTACTTGCAATTCTTGGGTTCACTCCAAATTTGATAATCCCGAGAAAAGGATTTTCTTCACCAACAAGGTTTGCCAAAAATTCCCTCTTCATTTATGCTTTTGTTTTTTAATTTTACCCAAAATAATTACTATCCTATTATATTTTTGGAAAAAGAGTAATGATTTTTTCTCATATTAGCCTAATTATAAGTATTAAAGGGCGGGCAATCTGATGCGCTAAGCTCTCACTATGCGCGGGGTCGGGGGAAGAGTCAGAATACAAAGGTCTATTGTACGCAGCTATACCTTGCATTTTTATAAAAGGTTGTTTCCACGGCTCGAACCCGTGACCTGCTGATCACATGGCACCAACTTTATCAACTTTATCTTTTACATATATTTCGTGATTTAGATATGATTTCTTCGTCAAGAATAAGAAATAGCTGGTTGATTTTCGTAGTGGATAGGAATATGATCTAACTATAGAAGAATGGATTCAAGTTATATTTTCCAGGTTACTGCTTAATGCTTATAATCAAATGCGGACCCAGAATTTTACGGGACGAGACACATTATTCTGCTCAATCAATGCCCCCTAAATGCTTTTATTATTCAGGATACCAACTGCTTTAAATTAACCATTTTCAAGGTATATATATANACCCCTCACCCATACACATGGGTCCGCCTCTGCTTATAATAGAAATTTACTTGTAATTATTTTATAATTAGCGACTTAATTGTATAACCTTAATAAAACTCAGTAAAATTATCGTATCTTAAAATAAACAGTTTAAAGTACCCTATGAATCTTTGCTAATCACTATTATGTTCTTTACCTTCTTTTCTTCAAAAACTAAAAAGAATCTAATAATCACGTCCACATCCATATTTCACCATCCCAATTTCGTTAGTACCCGACCACATAGGGATAACATGATACACTAAACTTTCGCTATGCATGATATAGGGGAAAGAGTTATACCGCACCGACTCTTATATACACAGTTTTGTTATGCATTTTTACAAGAAATTATTTTTGCAACTTATAATATCCTGATCACTAAAACAATCTTATGGTTGCGTCAAGCTCCCTTTTGTACAAGACCACATATACTAACCTAGAACATTGTAGTGGTCCATTCCATATACAATGTTTTTGTTACATCTCACTTATAAAGTAGACAAATGTATTAAAAAAAGTATATTGTGGACCTAGTGGTCCTATTAATTGCATTTAATTATTATTACACAACCACAGGCTGCTCTTCTTGTGTACTACATTTCTTCTAGCAACATGTCTTTTGTCTAATGGGTACACAACAACATGCATGCAGTTAATTATCCAACGTTAAAAATAGTCTACTGACATTTAGGTAACTCCTAGGACTCATACGAGAAAAAAGAAAGAGATTAGACAAACCAGTAATTTCGGACACATCACTGGGCGGGGCAGTTCGGTACACTAAGCTTTCACTGTGTGCGGAATTTGAGAAGGACCGGACCATAAGGGTCTATTGTACGCAACCTTACTCTGCATTTCTATAAGAGGTTGTTTCCACGGTTTGAACACATGACCTCGTGGTCACATGATAATAATTTTACCAATTACGCCAAAACTAAAAAAAAAATTACTTCGTAGGGACGATTTGATAGTCAAGAGATTACAAATTTAGTGCATTACGTATATTTGATTTCAATAATTTCTTTATTGCAAAATATTTTCTAATTCCCTCTTTTATTTCCATATTGATACACAGTCATACCTACCATCTCAAACGCCAAGTGCAATTAAGAGATTAAGAGAAAGAGAACTTGTAATAATGAGAGGTGATGGATTTGGACAACGTAAACAATTCGAGAGAGTATATGATTATGATGTATACAATGATATTGGAGATCCTGATGCTAGTGATGATACTAAGAGACCAGTACTTGGTGGTAAAGAATTCCCTTATCCTAGAAGATGCAAAAGTGGTGGCCCACGAAGCGAGAAAGGTACTCCCGACGTTTCAATTTATATGACACATTTTTTTTAAAACAAATTCATGTCATTTTTCTTAGGATAGACCAAAAAGGAAAAAGTGTAACGGAAATTAGGACAAAAGGAGTATATACTATTTTTAAATAGACTTAAACTTATACTCTACAATAACAATGTAAATAATTTTTATATTATTATGTTATTTTCTGATTGTTTGTCGTATTGTCCAGATGCTAATTTTACTTATTATGGGTAGTTATCCGTGGTTATCTTTTAAGTGGCATGATAATATGAAATTTTTATTAAGTTTATAGAAGTTAAACTTTGATTGAATCTAAATTATATACATTAACAGTGTAAAATAACATGTTACCATAGTTTGCATGTCACCAAACTGCTTGTAAAAAAAAAAATATATCTATCAGTGTACTGTAATATCCAATAGCAAGTTAGTTATCGTTTTTACCAAACTACCACGTAATGCTTATCATATAAATATATGTAATTATCTTATAACTGACCAGATTATGTACATATTTTTTACACCGTCAATACATAACTCTTTTTGTAAAGTTTTTTCTTGATCTATAGTGCAAAAATTCAATAGTTTCCAATGATTAAAAATTAAACTCAGAATTGAATTTTATACTACTCATTTTGTGGTTGCATTGCAGATCCATTATCTGAATCAAAGAGTACCTTTGCATATGTACCAAGAGATGAAGCATTCTCAGAACTGAAGGACTTATCATTCAGAGGCAACACCCTGTACTCAGTTCTACACGCGGTGGTGCCGGCGTTGAAGTCCGCCATCAATACGGACGACGGATTTCCACATTTTCCGGCCATTGACTCACTGTTCAACGTCGGAGTAGACCTTTCACCCCTTAACGATAAAAGTAGCCTGTTGAATATCATACCAAGGCTCATTAAGGCCATTTCTAATACCCGAAAAGGTGTCTTGCTCTTTGAAACCCCTGAATTGCTTCAAAGTAAGTCCCCATTATTGCTCGGATCCATCAAAAATTCATAAATCAAAATATTATATTGAGAACTTATATTGCTCGGATCCTCAAAAATGATGTCACGCTCATCTGAATTTCCAACAATGCATAATATATCTGTTGAAAATAAAAAATAAAAATAAACTAGAAGTAATTTTATTGCACCTTTGGTAAAGTTCTTGTAAAAATCTAAGTTAAATATTTTCAACGTTATTGCAGGGGACAAGTTTTCTTGGTTTAAAGATGTGGAATTTGCTCGTCAAACCTTAGCTGGTTTGAACCCATATAGTATACGCTTGGTTACGGTATGGTTCCCTTAATTAGTTATTTTTATTTCATTTTATCATACTGTATTACTTAATTATTGTTTTAGTGCTGATCAATCCTTCTTTTTTTCTTGTTATAGAAAGATTATTGCTCATTAAATAGGTCGTTTATAAATCAAGGCATACATTATGGTTAAAAGATGAAATTATCGATAGAAACACATAACTAAAAGGGATTTGTACACAAATAGCCGGCCGGATTCGTTTAGTTTTCCTAAGCAGTATACATAGGTTATACACGTATTATATATGAGTTATACATATAATATATATTCGCCGGTTATTTTTAGTATAAACAGTTGAGTGAATGACTATTTATGTTAATTCTTTGAACTAAAATACTTCATGAAAAAACAGGAATGGCCATTGAAGAGCAAGCTAGACCCTGAGATATATGGACCTCCTGAATCAGCAATCACAAAAGAGCTAATTGAGCTAGAAATTGCAGGATTCATGACTGTTGAAGAGGTATATATAAACAAATCCTTTGTTTTGATATATATATATATATATATATATATATTATGAGAAAAACACATATTTTATATTTTCTTTGTGGACACACGATATCCAACAGTTGGCGGAAGTACACAAATAATCATTCTTAGGGTTGTTATTTAGGAATCAGCCAACGCCTATTTTGTCCTGAAACTTTAAAATAAAAATCTTAATTTCGGTACAATTTAGGACATTTGTATCAGAAAATTGTAGCAGCCCTTTAGAGTGGCTACTTGGTGTCATTTCTAGCCAATGGTTGGATCCCTTTATTTGCATAAATGGCTTCTTTTAGGCCAGTATTTAAATTATCCCCCC